TCAATTTGTGTATATATATACAAATGCTGATCAAATATGGCCATATTCAGTCAGTGACTATTTGTTTTTTAAAATTAAATTTTCAATAATGTCATTAACAAAAAAAAAAGAAGAAGAACATGACATTATTGATGAAAAAAAAGTTTTCATTACTCTGTACTTCTGCAGAATAATATTGTATATTCTTAATATTGAAATAATTAATTTTATTGACGAACATTTAATTTTAAATTAAACTATTTATTGAAGAATTTTTTTTTTTTTGATGAAAAATAATAATAAGAAATAAATAAATTTTATTATAATTTGATCAAATTAAGAAGTATTTATTTTGTAGAATCAATTTACAATAAGATTTTATTGATATAAAACTATCAGAAAAATAATTAAAATCAGATAACAATATATTGAAAAAAAATGATAGATAAAGTTAGAAATCAGTGATATAAGTATTGATATATATTTTCTTTAAATCAAAATTTTTTTTTTTATTTAACATAAAACAGAAGAATAATTTCTAAAAATAAATTCAAAAATTTCTAGTACATTTGACATTATTTATATCTCTATAGTTATAAAAAACAAGAAACTTAACCTCTAATATAGAATAGACCTCGATATTTATTATCTATACTGTGTAAATATCAAACAATTATATTAAAGGAAGAAAAAAAAACTAGAATATTACTAGCATAAGAATCAAAATTTTATTAGACATCATTTTATTCTTGAAAAGGAAGGATGAAACATCATATCATATAATTTTCTACATAACTTTCATCTAAATTATCTATTCCATTATAGTTATTTTTACGTGCTACATGACACGCTAATATATTATATAGTGCAGAAGAGTACTTTTTAAATAATATAATGAGAATATTTTTTTTAAAGGTCATATGAACTAAATTATTAAAGATAAAATCTACCTTGAATTTAATTCAAATATTAGATATTTTTTTTTTGTTACTATTGTAAAGTGAACTAAAAAAAACATTATATATTTAGTTTTAATAATTTTTTTCATAGTTAATTCAGTTAATATTTTTCATTATGGATAGGTTATAGTGTTGTATTCTTTTGAGTAGAATAGATGATCTATGTAAAAATGAAACTACATTTATCAATTTTTAGACAAAAAAACAAAAAATTAAATCAAATCATATTTTGAAGAGTAATATATATTACAAAATCAAAAGATAAGATAAATATCAAAAATTTGATTTAATCATCAATATATCTAAAAATTATTTAATAGACACTGTAGAATATGCGGAAACAATTTTAAATGATTCATTATAGTAAAGAAATTTGAGTGAAGAGATGAGAATCATTGATAGACAAAAACGTCACACAATTATTTAAAAAGAATATAGCTTTCAAAATTATTGAAAAAGATAATTTTTTGTATGTAACGGATGGCGTATAGAAAACAATACAAAATGTTTTTTTTTTCTTCTTTTAAGGACATTTACCAATATATTAGAGATTTGATTTTAGACTCATTCGATAGAACATTTCCTGCTTGAAAAAACTATTAAGTTTTCTTTTGTTAATGCAAAATTTGAAAGATAAACATCCTTCTCAATCGTTTAATTATGATTTTTACTTTTCTACAAGCATTTTCTTTTTAGTCTTTATGTTCATCAAGAGCAATTTTCGAAGTTAAGTATTTTGACATCAATGGATAGAGAATTTTCTACTCTCTAGCTCATCAATATTTTTGCTGCTGCCATTCAGAAAAAAAAGGCTTTGAGTCAAATTCTGAAAAACAATGTTATTTCAAAGCGCAATTTGATCCATGAAAAGTTTGTTTTCATATCACTAAATATGAATTTTAATTTTAATCAATATCAAAGTGTTAAGAATGTTAATCAAGTGAAGAAAAAAAAAAATTAATCTCATCATGATTCAACCTATTTCACAGCAGGTAACCTGACAGTTTCTTCTTCATTTCTATTCATCTTACAATAATATGGTCTGGTTCATTTATTTCTGCTAGAAAAACGCATAAAATAATATTTCAAAATCCAATTTCTATTCGCAATTATCACGAATCATTAGAAAATTGACAGAAACTATTAAGAATTTTCATTGATATCAATCAAATCATAGTTTCTCTATTTTGAATAACTAATTCTATTGTATTATCGATAATAAATTTATATATATTTTTTTTGTAAAGTTAATATAGTAGTATATGATTCATATTTTCAAATAATTGAGTTCAAAAAAAAGAAATAAATTTTTAATATTTATTAATTATCATATTCTACTATTGTTTCATAGTAGAGTACAAATATACATATTCATTACATATCACGCGATGTTTAAAAAAAAAACAAAGATATAGTAACAGTATCATTTTTTGTTTTTTGTTTTTGTCATAAAATAATTTACAAAACAATGAATTCTAAAGTTTATTTAAATAAAATTAATTTTATTTTACATATAAAAATCAATAATCAATAGATAAAACATTATTATCATTTGAATTTTTGTATTTTCTTATTATAATAGATTTATTATGTTGATGAGAACAAAAAACAAAAATGTATGATAAATATTATTGATTATATGATGTCTTATTTGATAATTTGAAAGAATCACTTACTTACATCAGCTAATCAATTAATTTCACTAAAATTATGAACGACGCAAAGAAAAAAATATAAAAACAATATATGATACAAGAGTTAAAAAGTACGAAATAGCTTCTTTTAGATCAAAGATCATAAACTATGAACACTTTTAATATGAATATGTAATTTTCTGAATATCAAATAAAAACACAAATTATTTATATATAAACATATATTAATCAATAAAAAACAAAAACAATACATTTTTGTGAAACATCTTCATCTAAGTATTTCCAGTAAGTAGTTATTATAATAAGTCAATAGTTTTATATATCATTACTAAATAATAGTGTAGATACTTCATAAGTTCTAAATCTCGACGACAACTTATTTATATGTTGATAGAAGAATACGATCGCTAATTGAATAGATATCATAATTTATTCAATTTTGTCAAAATCGATCAACAAAATATATATATTTTACTGATTCAAATAATAAGTTAACCCATTCGCGGCGGGGTTTTTTTGGTGAGAAATAAGTGCGGGTGTAATAATAAAAACTCACATCCCACATCCTCCTTAGATACTGTTATCAAATTGCACTTGGAAGCATATTCATACGGAGCATATAGTGAAAAACCTTACCGTCCCATATATGGGACACCCGCCGCGAATGGGTTAATTATACAAAAAAAAAGGTTAGTTAACTATAATATAATTGTTCTCAAATACTTCTTATTATTACTGATAAAATCGTGAATTCTTTGTTTCATCTAGTTTTTAATTGTATCAACACATATTTTATCATTCGATTATTTTCTTTAGTTAATTTATTCATTAGTTAGAAGTTTAAGATATGAAAAATTTTTTTATTAAACTATTTATTTAAGAAATTATTAGACTATTCACCCGTTCATCATAAATTTCAAATAAACGTTCACGATAACTAATTCTTGTTTCTACTATATGTTTTAATCTCGAATGTATTCATCGTTTTTAATAAAAAAAATCTCATTCATAGATTTGCAAAAAAAAAAAATTGAATTTATAACTTTTCTTTCTCTATATATAAATTAATCTTTATCCAAATTTAAAACGTATGTATTAACTCAATAAATTAAATATATAATATTGATTTTGAAGAAAAACTAATTTTTATCGATCTTTACTTCTTTGGCTTGCTTAGTTTTTTTTTTTTTTTGTTCAATCATAATATAAAAAATAGAATAGAATTGCATTTTAATCATCAAAGAAAGTTCAACAAGCCGAAATAATCAATATATAAGATGTATAGAATAACAATTCTTTAATATAAACATTCAAGATAATACTTGAAAACTCTTCAATATTGAAGTATTTTATTCTTACGTGTGTAAGTAAGTATTTAAGAATAGAATAATAACTGTTTATTTAAATAAAATTTTCTTAATAAATATGTTCAAAGTTCATTCTAAGAAAGTACTCAGGTTAGAAGGTCATCAATTTTAAATAAATATCATTCAATGAAAAATTTATAATAAAAGATATTTAATATCAATTAAACATTTATAAATTACATATTAGTAATATATAGAACAAAAATGAAGAAAAATGATCTGTTTTTATTTAAAAAATATATTGAATGAATTCAATAGATAAATATCTCATTGATAGTTTTAGAATAAAAATGAAAAGAATAATATTTTAGTAAATTATTTCAGCTACAGCAAAGTACAAAAAAAGAACAACACCGTTCAACCTTAACTAAATATAATTCAGATTGAAAATAGACGACGAACAAATAATAATTATGTTGATGACGTTTCTAGATACATAACTAAGTATATTTCAATTTATGAATAATAACCTTGACATCAACGTTAAGCAAAAATAAGTACATAGAATCAGGTGATTTGTCATATTTGAATTGACCTCCCTGTCACAAGCAGATTTTAATAGTCGATGATTAGGATCAGAAATATCTCAAGATTAATGAATAAGAATGCTAATTGAAAGGTCATCTTTAGTTGAAACTTCGATTTGTAAAATCTATTTATTTAATTTGAACAAATTTCAAAAAAAAAAAAAGAAATTCTTGACATTTCTATTTATTGATATGATTATGTAAATATTTACAAAAAGATTTTTAACAAAATTATAAGTTGAAATTAAAATATTTGAATTCAAATATCATATTTTAACATGTATATTAGTGTATAGAGTGCGCTAAGAAATGGTTGTATGGAAAATGTAAAAATTTTGATTAGCTCTTTTTATTATTCAATCATTTTCATGTTTTTGATTACTAAGTATCTTATGTTTATGTTTGTTACTCATCATTTTCTCGTTCCAAATTCTCAATTGATTTTCTTACCTTTCTTTTTTTTTTTGCTGTGAGTTATCTTCTTTTTTTTTTCACTTTCATCTAGAACAAACAATGAGTTCAGATGTGACATCTGGCAATGAAAATGCCAATGATGTATCACATTTATCTTCCACTCCGACAACGACTTTAGAATATAGTCGAACAGTATCACAAGATTTACGTTATCTTGATGATGCTCTTACTCATGCTATTGATCAATTGACAATATTTAATAGTGAAACAATGTCTGATCTTTCACTTAAATATGAACTAATGCGTAATAATGAAGTAAGAAGAAATTTAACGTATTTAAGTTATATAATTCCTTTTTTTTTTCTTTTGTCTAATCTAGAGTCGTGTTATTGGATTTTTTGCTCGTCAATTGATGTTATTACAAATGCAAAGAAACAATAGACAAAATGGTGGTTTTCATAGTGAATATTCTAAACTTGATCGTTTTTTATCTGTTATTAATCTCAATAAAAAATCTATTGAAGTAAATTATTTATTTTCTTTTAATTTATTACATGATTATTATTTTTTTTTGTTTTTGTATAGTATATTGTACAACGAATAACATTTGATGATCTATTAAGTAACAAAACATCAGAATATGAACAAATTTTATATGATGCTGGTATAACAGAAATTGAACAAAAAGATTTTCATAGTGCACTTACTGCACTTAAAGATTGCATCGGTATTTTTTTTTGGATTCAATTCTTTAGAATTTCTTTTTCAAAGTTTATTGATTGTTTTTTTTTTACTTTTATAAGATTATTTTTCTAATGGTGGTACAAATGATAATGGACGTTTTTATTGGCATACAGAAATATCAACTACACCTAAAAATTCTCAACATCGTTTGTCAGATACTGGTAACAAAACATTATTACTAATAAAATTGACTTTTTCTTTTTTTGTGAAGTTCTTCTAACGCCACCTAATACCGATACAGTAAGATCAATATCTGTATCTTCATCGGTCTCAACGGACTTTGGAGTTACAACGAATAATAATAATAATAATAATCAAATGACAGTACCATTATCTCCACATACACGACGAACTAATCGTAAATAGAAGTTTATTTTCGAGTATTCATTTCAAAAAAAAAACTCTATGTGTATATATAGCATCTCATACACCACCACCATCTCGTTTAAATCAATTATATGTAAATGGAAAAGGTAAATGTGAACATCCAAGTAAGAAAAGTACAGTTGATCCTTCAATTTTTAATACGTAAGATAATATTAATGATTTTATATTTGTTTAAATACTCTTCTTTTTTTTTGTTTTTTTTTAATTAAGTAATATTAATCTTCCTCGTAATACAGATCTACAATTACCTATTGAAGGTAATTCATCTCGTCGAAGTTCATATGGTTCAGATTCAGAAAGTCGTTTAGCTTCTGGTAAGTTATAAATATAATTAAGAAAAAAAGAAAAAACAAAAACAAATAGAAGATTATTACAAATCTTCTTTATATCGTAATAGAACACGAAAAAAAGTCTCTATTATATCTGTATTTATTGCAATAAATATATATATATAAGACAATAGGTAAATATTTATAGGGTGATAAAAAAAAAAAAAAATTTAAAGCTCTGTTAGAATGTATATTTACTTTTTCTTTTTTTTGAAAAGGTAATTCTATAGCAATGAATATATTTTTTTTTATCATTTGACGGTAAAATCAAAATATAATAGAACAGATCTTTTTTTTTAATATATGCTATGTTTAAACATAGATAACATTGCATATTTAAATATAAGAATTATCAATGTCAATATTTTTCAATGTTAACAATAGATTTCTACTTTTATTATTCTAAAGATCAATCTATCGTCAAACTAAATTTGATTATTGTAATAGAAGAAAATTTGATTATAAAAATATTTTTATTATACTCGATTTATTTTAGTAGTACATAAGTATAAACTAAAACATTAACATACAGAATGGTATAAAACATCGAATACTTTCAGTATATTTAATGTTTTTTTTATCATGGATAAATATCTAAAATACAAAATGCAATCGTTTTTTTATGGACGTATGTATATACATATATTTCTTTTAGGTCTTCCCCCTGAAAAAAAATCGATCTCAGATCAAGTATATCCAAATTAGCTGAAATTTTCAGTCCTATATCATAACATTTGACAGAGATATTCAAAGATTGAAAATAACTCATTTGCCAAGCAAGATTTCTCTTTCCAGGCTCATTCTATATATTTAATTCTTTTTTTTTTTGTTATTGGAAAGAACATGTCAGGATGTGCAGTGCCTACTAGAGCTCATTTCTTTTTTTTTATATATCTAGTAAAAACAAAACATAATTTAAAAAAAAAGGGTTCTAGTAGGCACTGTATCTTGACATGCTCTTTCAAACAAAACAAAAAGATTTAAATATATAGAATGAGTCTGGACAGAGAATTCTTATTTGCGCGTTCAAGAAAGCATAAACTGAGAAAAAAAAATGAAAAAAAATTGTCGATTTTTTTTTAATAGGAAGTGACGAAAATCTTCAAAAATTTTTGAAAAAAAATAAGATACTAACGAGGGATCATTCTCAACTGTCACATCGCTTTTAAATCGAGCATATGGGCATTATGTAGATCCTAACGATCTATGAATTATCTGAAAAAAGTTCGTGCCGCTAACTTATTATTGCTGAGATACTGCCTTTTTACTGTATGTTTAAGAAAAGAGAGCTGTGGTCCCCCTCCGGAACACTTGGAAAACTGAATTTTGAATTTCAATTTCAAACTTTGCATAGATATAGGGCTCAATGAGAATACTTTATTGTGAAAGTTTCAGCTTTTTTCATTGCATCTATCCTAAGATACAATTATCATAAAATTGCTCATATATCCCAGCGGATCCGATGTTCTTATCTCAGACGAGGAGCAACCAAAAAATCTGAAACATTCACAATAAACTGTTCTCATTGAGGTCTATATACATGCAAAAGTTTCAGGCTGAAACTCAAAACTCACTTTTCCTGAGGGGGACCACGGCATTTTCCGAAATATGTAGTAAAAATGCTATATCTCAGCAGTAAGAAGCTAGCGGCACGAACTTTTTTGGGAAGATTCATAGATCATTAGGACCTACATATAATCCCCATACGATCGACTCAAAAGCGATGTGACACTTGGGAATGTTTCCTCGTAAGTAAAATTTTTTATTGTTTATGAAAGATCAGATTATGGATTATCTTCTCTTGTATTTATTTTAATATTCGACAATGATTTTTCTTGAGAAAAGACCTTCAATAAATTATCATATATAACATATTAATTATATATTTATCTATAAAATCGATAATTTCTATTTTATTTCTATAGAATTTGAGCAAAGTTATAAGAATGAAATAAATAATCATTATCATCCATCGGCTATGCGTAAGATTGTTGTAAAATTTCATAAAAGTTCATTACATTCTAATAATACATTATCATCTATTAAAAATCGACAAAATTTGGATAATTATCAACAATCAAATGAAAATGATGAAAATAAATCTTCATTGAAAACAAAAAAAAATAAATTATGGCCTAAATCTAATTCAAAAGATGGTTAGAAGTATATAGATTTTGCTCGCTCGGATACGGTTGACATAAATATATATTGCTTTTGCTCATGAATGATTAATCGACTACATTGAATTGTTTTTTTTTTTTTAAATGTTTTCTTTTACGAATATAAACATATTATTTATTTTTTATTTACATAGGTTCTGCAACACCTAAATCACCTACAATACGTTCTCCAACAATGTCAAGTTCACCATTAGGTTCAGCACAAAATAGTGATGCTGAAAATGATATAAAAACATCGGGTAAATTTTGTAAAAGATTTTATAATTTGTTTTGTAATTAATTGTTTTTTTCAGAAGCACTCACTTATAATACACCATCACCTATTCTTAGACATCGAATGGCACATAAAATTCAACATAAGTTCGTATTGTATAAATTTTTTGCTTTTAATATATTGCTTGCACTCATGCTTTTTTTTTGCATATATTATTCTCATAATATTTATATAATCTCGTAATTTCTTTTATTTGTTATTAAATTATTTCATCTTGTTGTCACTGGTTTTTCTTGTTTTTAACTATTATTCGATGTTGTACAGTTTGGTGGTTTCTCTACATATGTGATTGTATCATAAATAACATCGACGACAATTTCTTTTTTTTTTTTTTTCTCTATCTTATTTCTCAGGTGGAGTAATTTCATAAAATTATCAACATGTAATGTTTGCTCAAAAAAGATCTTCTTTCTCGGTGTCAAATGCAATACTTGCAAGTAAGAAATTTTAATATTTTTCATATTTCATATAAACGAAATTATTTCATCGTTCCGTCGATTTTCGAAGATCTATTTTTTTTTTGTTTTGTTTTTCTCTGCTTTATATGCCGCTCTTCTAAATACAAATATTAAAAAACATTCAAACGAAAACAAAAAACTTTTTCGTTTATTTTTTATATTCGTTTTTCTAGGTTTGATAGAACACGTGTTTTCAAATTTTCCTTTTGTGACGTCTGTAGGAGACAGGTGTTTCGAGGAAAAGCATGTCTTCATTGCAAGTAAGACACTAGAGAATGCATCTTGCAATTACAAAAAACAAAAAAAACAACAATTTATAGCATGATTCTTTTTCCTGACGGGATGCGATTGCTGTGATTTTATTTTTCTTCTTTTTTAAACTTTGATTTTTTATATTATGTTTTCTTTTTTTTTTTTCTCCAAGATATAAATGTCATAAAGAATGTGTACAAAATGCTCCACCTAATTGTGGTTTTAGTGAAGTTAAATTGAGACGAGCAATTGATAATACTGATATTCAAAATGCTCTTGGTAAAGAAAAAATAATTTTTTTACATATATATTTATGGGATTCCGGAACTTTGCCAATAAGACTTTCGTCAAATAGGACTCTCGCCAATTGGCTAAGGTCTACTGTACTTTCGCCAATTTGACTCCGAACTAGATATAGATTCGAAAATTTCTGTCGGCTATATTGATGAGTGTAAGCTATGATAAACATTCTAACAATATTAGCTGCAGCTAGAGCCTGTTGGATCTACTGGGACCCGAACCCAACCGGTTGCGAGTCTGAAAGCTTTGTAATCACTGGGTTCGGAAAATTTTACTAATCGGATCGAGATCCAAAGAAATATCTCATGTATATAATAATCTTTTTGGAATTTCCTTCAATTTTTCTCTTAAAAGATCCATCAATCGGGTTCGACTCCAGAAATTCTTGAATTCGACAGACTGTAGCTTCAACTTTTACATGTAATATTTTTTCGTGACAGTTGGGGAAAGTTTACTGTACTTTCGTCAATTGGCGAAAGTACAGTAGAATTTTGCCAGTATACCCCTGAACTTTCGCCATTGGCGAATGTCCTATTGGCGAACTTCCGGTAACCCATATTTATTGATTGTTTAATATTTGGTTTAACTTTTTTTTTCTAGCTAGTACCAGTCCATTGCCACGTAAATATCCTTTTCTACGTAAGTATTTGAATTATTTTAAACAGAATAGAATATATCGTTCTTATTATATGATTGTGATTCTTAAAAAAAAGGATTATTTTTCTAAGTCAACTCCTTTAGCATGCGCACATTGTGTAAGGATGTTGGTTATTAAATAAAATCAAAAATTTTTGCCTCATCATTATGTAGAGATGATTAAGAAAGAGTTTGTACCATTTGAAAGAACTTTACATTCAGTTTTTCACACTCTGTCATATCGTTCATGAGAAATAAACCAGTTTTTCTTTTTTAAAATCTATGCATGTTTAGAAAAAGTTCTTTTTAACGTTAGCTTTTCTTTTTACTGATCATAGAGTTAACTTTTCTCAGATAAACTTAATATAAAAATTAGTTCTAGAAAATTTCATTATTCTAATTTTATGAAATCAAATAGTTAACAAACGATTTGACGTATCTTTATATAAATTATTTTTGATAATTTAAGCATGGGATAGTACAAGTCCGACAGCATCAACACCATTATCTGCACCTGATTCACCAGCAACACATCTAACAACATCTGGTTATAATTTTAATCCATCTATATGTGTTAGTGAAACAATTTATTCTAGTAAGTTTTTCTAGAATAATTCTAACTCTAGATATTCAATATAAAAAAACAAAAATTTATTTATAAATTGAATAAAATATTTCAATTTTAAGAATGAAATTTTCATTCATATTATAGCATGCATTCTTATTTTTCCTTTAGCTCAAAATGATCCGGATAGTTGGGTCGTTATTGAGACGACTAATAAAACTCCAACAGGTAGGGGAATAATAATGGAAATTATATGGTGTCGGAAAGAAAATTTCTTTGTTTTTTTTCTATATTGTTCATATGTTTTTCGTCAAAAAAAAAAAGATATGCATGCATTTATTAAGTTTTTTGATGTATTTAAATATTATGAATTAATTCTATTAATTAATTTTTATGTTTTTAGAAATTCCTGGATCACAATCAGATAGTGATACAAAGTAAATAAATATAATAATTTTTATTTTTATTTAGTTTATATTATTTAGTTCAACAATTCATACAGATACAGGAACAAATACAACTGATTCAACCGTAACAACACATAGTAAATTAATACGACAAATATCACAAGTAAAAAAGAATTTTTATATTTATTAGAAATTAATTTTTAATCTTAGAGTGAACCGACAAATCCTAGACGTGAAGAACTTGCTAAATTAAAACTTTTTGATATTAATTCATTTGATGATGATGAACCTGATCCAGATAAACGAATTAAGAATGTAAGTTATGTTTTCAAGATACATATGTAAACTAAGCTATCACCGTCAATGACTACAAATATTTTTAAAATATTTCAATCATCAACACTCTAGCAGTTCAAATATACCGCCGGCAAAACATAATAATACTTAGAGATTCTAAGCTGAAGGATCGAACAACGGCGACAGTTTTAATAGTCAAATTTTTTTTCTATAGCGGTAGTGCCTACTAGACTTCATGTTTTTCTACGCCGGCGGCGGCTTTGGCAACCAAAAAAAACAAACGTTTGTACTTCTAAAAGGCGAAAAAATCGCCGATCGCATATCTATCGATGTCAACAGCGGCGCCTTATACTATTATTAAAAATTTTCATTCGTAGCGGCGCAGGGGCTGAACTAACTTTTCACTGCGACGGCGCCGGCGGAGGAGCTGAATTAACTTTTCACGGCAACGGCGCCGGTGCAGGGGCTAAACAAACTTTTCACGGCGGCGGTGGAGGGGCTGAACTAACTTTTCACGGCAGCGGCGGCGGCGACTCAGCTGTACGGCTTACATCTCTAATAATACTTCCATTTTTCATTTCAATATTTGACAGAACTTAGAAAATCACATCAAAAACTTCAGTCGCAGCCCAACTCTAAGACTTTCATGCACGTCGCTACTCTGAAATTCTAAGACTTTTGAAGTTATCACTACTGATTAATATATCGGCTAATATTTCTACTTAAGAATATCGAGTTTATAAAATTCAATCGAAAAATAGATTTCAGTTGATTATAATTAAATACAATAATATTATTTTTAGCTTGCATCATCATTACAAGATTGGGTTATTGGATTTAATAATATTAAAATGATTGAAGAAGTACGACGTTCATCTGGTACACTAATGAAGTAAGAATATTAAGATTTGTATGAAATAAAAAAAAATGTATTTTGTGCTTTATTCTTTTGTTTTCTAGAGCTCATTGGCATGGTGAAATAGCTGTACGAATAATAAAACCTGATTCAAAAATGAATGAAATACAATTTCTTGATCTATTTAAAAATCAAGTTTGTTAACATTCTAAATTTTTTTACATTTAAACAAATATATATATATATTTAAAATTTTTATAGGTATTTCGATTACGAAAAGTTCGACATGAACATTTAAATTTATATACAGGTGTTTGTAGTATGTATTGAATTCATTTTATTTAATTTTTTTTTTATAATTATAAAATTTTCTTTAGTTGAAAGTCCAAATCTTGCAATTGTTTCAAAGTATATTGTTTCTTGATATTTTAAAATCAAAAAAAAATATATATATATATTTCTAGTTGGATTCGTGGTTTAAATCTATTTGAAATGATTCATATTCGTAATGATTCAATTCCACTTAATACAGCTGTACAATATGCTGCTCAAATAGCTCAAGCCATGAGTTATTTACATGAAAAATCAATAAATCATATGTCATTACGAACAACAAATATATTTGTACAAAATAATCGTATTATTATAACTGATTATGGTTTAATACCATTAAGTAAATGTTTTCGAATAACAAATCAACCAGCTATTATTGCACCACGTGGATGGCTTAGTTATTTAGCACCAGAAATTATACGTAAACTTGATCCACGTAATGAACAAACACTTTTACAACATACACCACAAACAGATGTTTATGCATTTGGGTAAAAAGAAAATTTTTCTCTTTTTTTGTAATATTTATTAGAGATTGATTTTTTGTTTGTTTTTTTAGTACTGTTTGGTATGAACTTTTATTTCGTGAATTTCCATTTGCTAAACAACCACCAGAATATATTATTTGGAGAGCAGGAAATTCACTCAAACAACCATTAAGTAGTGTACATATTAGTAAATATGCGAAAGTAAGTATTAATGAATTTGATTAGATAAAATAAAATTTAAAAGAGAAATAAATAATTCTTATTATTTGTAATAAGTTTAAATATTTATTTCTTTAAATTAATTTAATGATCGATTCTCCAAGTGACTTTTCTAATTCGAAAATCGAACAGAATTGATAATTTTATGTTTTTTTGTTGTCATTATAATGTTAAATCGTATAATCACTTTTTAATTGTTGAATGCCTTTTAACTAAGACAAAATTTAAAAAGATTTGAATCGATTGTCTACAAATGAAGAATTGAGTCTGTTTTAAAAACTTGATGCAACAAGTTTGAATCCGAAATTTTCTCTATAGGAAAAGTTCATAGTTAGTAGATAGTATTAAACATTTCTACGAAAACAAACATATCTTTCTAGGCATGATAGTTTTCGTTAAAACTCACACAACTATCTAATTCACTAGAAATGGAATGTTAACCTACAAACTTTTTGATTTAGATTTTTCAAAAATATTTTACTCTGTCAATAGAGATATATAATAAAAATGATCATAGTTCTTCATCAGTAGATCAATCGATCCATGAATTGCATTACTGATAGTTTAATAGAATGACCAATCAACTATGTAATCAAGAACAGCAACATATTGAAACCTTTTATGAATTTTACTATCTATATATATAATGTTCAGTGCGTGCGTGTTTGTGCCGGGTCAAAGGTCAAATAAGGCTATAAGGAGAAGGCCCAGGGGCTGTTATAATGGGGACTCATAGGCTCTCAAGGGCTAGTATAGAGGGTATCCTTAGGTCCTCAAGAGCTATTATACGGGAGTACCTATAAGTCCTCAACAGCTACTATATGGGGGTAGCCACAGGTCCTCAAGACCTATTATATAGGGGTACTCACAGGTCCTCAAGGGCTATTATATGGTATATCTGTAGGATATGAAGAGCTATAATATGGGGTAGCCATAGGTTCTCAATGGACTACGGCAATAAGAGGATAAGGCTACAAGGAATACAAAGCTATAAGGCTGAAGGCTACATGGACTATAAAAATATGTGCAATATCAGAGTATGAGACCGTAGGGCTACCTCTCTATATACATAATATCGAGTGTCTGTATGTCTGTTCCTGAATGAAAAGTTAAACGTCTTAGATCATACGTTAAAGGAGAAAACAGTCGTGTAGTATGCATGGGCTCTCGCTAGTTAAAAATAATGTTTGAGTCTTCACAGATCGTTACTTTTCATATTCCCATACCTTACCCACAAGTTATAATACTGTATTACATAACTCAACTCGTATTTTTTCTTAAGAACATATGTATTCATGAAAAATTTTTATTTTTTTCATAGGATATAATTAATCAATGTTGGTCGTTTGTACCAGATGATCGACCTGATTTTGCAATGTTATGTAAATCATTAAGTAAAATGCCAGGTAAACGAACATTAGTACGATCTCCATCAACTCCTCTTCAATATAATACTCGACCACATATTGAAGCACAATTCTAATGGGAAAAATCAAATTCTCAATACATACATATATATATATATATAACCATTTGATTTGCATTCCTTTATTAGAAACAGGGATTTTTAATTTAATTATGAAATTCACATCGTCGAACTTGTACATTATATTTTTTAGTTGTGTGCAATAAAAAAAAAAACAAAAAAAAAAAAAAAAAGAATAAAATTCATTTAAAAAAGAAAAGAAAAACTATTACAAAAATTTTCTCTCAATTCTTATCGTTTGGTTTCTTGTTGAGCTGATAAATATTGTCGTTTTGAATATCTTTTTTTCTCTTGTTGTGAATAACAAGTGACAGTTTCCTCCTACCCTCATTAGTTGTTTTTATGTTTACAGTATATTTGAGATAAACAAATAAGAAAAAAAAAAAAAAGAGAAACAATGAACCATTCTTCCTTAATGTTTTTTTTTTTTTTCTTTCTTGTTCTTCAATAATTGTTATTTATATGAATGTATTTAATGAGTAAAACTCATATTTCTTCTGATCTTTGCGTAAAAATCAAATAATATTTTATGTATCTTGTTTTGTTTTCGTGTTTATATATGTATCTTCCACTCTTATTATTTATTTCAACAATATAAGATCAATGTGATCATTTTAGTAATCAAATATTTTTTTTTGTTTTCTATCAATCAGAAATATTATTGATTAAAAAAAAGAGATAATTGTGGATAGATAGAAGAATTCATAGATGTATTTTGTTCATTAGATGTTTGTTGATAATGAGAAGATGATAAATTAATTGAATTTGTTAATATTTCATCATCATCTGGATGAAAAACATATTCAAATAGAAATTCTTTAAAACGTTTTGCATAAAAATCTGCTTCAACAATTGAACGTTCATTAATAACATCACGATTTTCAACTGTTTGATATTGTCGTTGCATTACTTTACAAATATCAAATCTATATGAATTATTTAGTATTATTAATAATAAAATAAATAATACATCAATATTATACTTACGTTTGTAATATATCAATAATACCCAGAAAAAGAAGAAGACGTTCACCTTTTTCATTTATTGCTGGAATACCTCTAAAATATTTTTACAACAATTATTATTCGAATCTTGTATAGTTACATAGATTTTCTTAATTTTTGTAACTATTTATCTTAGATTTTCCAAAAATGACTTATTTTTCAAATTATAATAATGATGAAAAGATTTGTTGAAGTTGTCATTTAAAAATTTATTGTATTAGGAAAAACTATACGAATATATTAGACTTGTCATTCACGAGGGAAGGGTCCCAACTGTCCAATCACTTTTGAGCCGAGACTATGTGCATTATGTAGATCCACATGAGTTATAAATACCCTGAAAAAAGTTCGGGCCGCTAGCCTATTGCTACGGAGATAGTGTATTTTTACAGTATTCTTTAAAAATGAATGCCGTGGTCCCCCTCAGGGACACCAGAAAATCTGATTTTTGAATTTCGACTTGAAACTTTGGATAGAGACAGACCTTAATCAGAATAGTTTATTCTGAATGTTTCTAAGATTTTTTTCATCTGCTTCTATCCTAAAATAAGAACATAAAATCTGCCAGTTTATATAGACAAGTTATTCATAACTGTATCCTAGGATAGAAAGGGCGAAAAAATCTGAAATATTCACAGCAAATTATTCTCATTAAGGTCTGTCTCTATCCAAAGTTTCAAGTCGAAATTCGAAAATCAGTTTTTCTGTATCCCTGAGGGAGACCACGGCATTTATTTAAAAATATTGTAAAAGTGCACTATCTCTGTAGCAATAAGCTAGCGGCCCGAACTGTTTTCAGGGCATTCATAACTCATTTTGGTCTACATAATGCACATAGTCTCGGCTCAAAAGCGATTGGACAGTTGGTGCCCTTCCCTCGTCAGTGTTTTGAATGTATTAGAGAAATTTCGTTCTCAAAAGCTGATATGAAAATATATTCAACTGTTGGATCTCGTTTGACTAAAAAACCTTAAGTGGACTCGCACCTATAGCCTACATTCAAAGTGAACACAATAGGTTTTTAACCTAAGATTATTTCTTACTTATTCCATAACTATATATCTATAATTAGTGTATCGTTTACCTCTTTTTCTTTTATTCCTATTTAGATTATTGTACTCTCAGATCTAGTTATTGTCTCGTATCTATCTCTTCACTTCAAACATAACAGCATCCGACAGTAGGATTTGATTTCTCGTTATTCATCATAAAAACTTACCCAAATTCTTTAGCATATTCTACATCGAATTTTGGAATTTCTTCATAAATAAAACCTAATGTTTCATTTGGTTTTTTCAATCGTAAAAGTGATCTTGATTCATAAGTATTATTATTTTTATTTTCAATTCGTTGTTCCATCATACAAGCAAGAAATGTATCATGAAGACCACCCATTAATGCTTCTAATCCTCCAGTACGTGTCGGTCTAATTTGATTATCCATATTATGTATAGCTATTTGATTAAAAAACAAAAAAAATAATCAAAAAAAAAAAATCAAGAATTATATTTACTTAAAAGTAATGAATAATCCATAATATTAAGTTTTTCTAAAAATTCTACATCATATGTAATTATATCTTTTAAATGATAATAAATATTTTTTGGAATTTTTAAACCTTGTGGATGTATATCACGAAAATCATTATCTTTAAATGTTGCTGATTTTTTTATACGTTCAGTAAAATTTGCATCACGTTTATAAGATGAACCTTTAAGATCATATTTTTCATGAATATCAATATTTGTTGGTATTATATTTGAAAATATAATAAAACGTAATGTAAATGAATCAATTGTAATACCTTTTTGAGATGATATATATGGAATATAACCATAAACACCAAATAATTTAGTAAGAAATGTATTTGGTCGTTTTTTAACATGTTCAAAATATGCATGAAGAAATTTTTGTTGAATAAATTTTGCATCATAATCACGTGCTGTTTTAATAAGATATGTTGATTTTGATGTTAAATAAAGTAATGAACCTGAACTAGATGGATTAACTATTTCTTTAAGTTCACCTTCACATATATGTCTTTTTAATATATCAAAATTAATACCATATATATTCATTAAATCACTAAATATATTAAGTCCATAAGCTTCAAAATCAAAATCCGATAAAGAATGAGATGGTGTATAACCACCAATAGCTGGAAATTTTTCTCGTTGTATATATGTAGATGATTCAGAAAATTTTTGATTATCTTGATCAAGAAAATAACCAATACCTATGAATTCGAAGAAAAATTTTTAAGATTAACTATACTATAGTTTCACAAGAATCTCTAGGATATGAATAATCTAGTATTTTCGAAATAATTTCATAAAAGTTAGGATTTATATTGTATCAAATCAAGAAAAATATTTCGTTAGATATATAAATTTTTTTTTTTTTATAATAATTAAAAAACAAAAAGGTTAACGAATTATGTGTACATACCAATTTGAAGTGCATGTCGAATATCTTCACTTCGTACAATACCAGATGAAAATAATGTTTGTAATAATTTTTGTTTAGCAAGTGCTCCTGTTGTATCAGTCATTGATGTAACATGTTCTTGAACTGTTGATATCCATGTATCACTTTTATCTTTGACAAGTTCAATTACACGCTGGGTTATTGGACGTTGTTCATGATTGTTAGTCAATGCTTGCATAGTGTTTGATATACGAGGATTTTCTAAAACACTAGTCAACTTATCTTTTATTGCTCGTCGCATGTCTTTTTTTTTCTTCTTGGTTTGCTGATATCACTATGTTTCACATGCAGATCTTGCTAAATGATAAGTGTTTTTATTTCAACCCCTCTAAATGATTCATAAAAACTAGATGGTATACATTCTATGTGTGATGCGAATGACTATTTCGTGGGCACATCATCAAAACGGATGGAAGGAAGAAACAGAAAATGTATGTCAATTATTGATTTTCTTTTTTTTGTCTTGTTCTGTCTGTCAGAATGATTCATATAAATGAATAAAAAAAAAAGAGGTATGAAATATTGGAGGTATTACTTAGACAACGAACGATGTAATGGCAAAAAAAAAGAAAAACGAACATAGAAATAAGTTAATATATAAAATAATCAAATATGAGTACTAATGATGCAACTCGATTTTTTGATACATCAGGTTGTTTAAATTTATCTCGACCAACAAGTGGTATACGTATTGCATCAGCTAAACAACATAAACAAATTGTTACATCTTCAATACCAATACGAGGTCAAATTAAAATTGATTTATATAATTTTGATCATATTGATTATGCTAATTCAAAATATGTTTTAACAAGTCCACGTTCACTTGAAGCATGTGCTCGTCTTAATATTAAAGTAGAATTAAATTGTTGCTTTTTTATTTAATTATAAAATAAAATTAATTCTTTAGCCAACAACATTACTTCCAAAAAAATTAATTGATATATCATCTGATCAAGT